AGAATCTTATTAACAACTTCCTTTTTCATCTCCAGTTGCAACATTTGCTCACAGTACTGGGCAAGCTGGCCTGTGCTAGTAATCCAGGCTTTGCATTTTGAGAATCATTCTCTTCCTGTACTTTCCCTGCCAACCTCCCACATTCCCATCGTTAAAGGCAACACTATATAAATGAAATGATGAAGGCTGAGTATCTTTGATCCCCCCTGCAGTCACCTTTTAACTTCTGCCTGTCACCTACAGAAACAGTTTCAATTTCATTGCAAGACTAATGCTGCTTATAGCTATTACAAATCTAATTCAACATGATACGTCAGCTTTGCCTATAGCAATCTGGAGGGCAGTTGTGAACATGCCAAAGGTTTTAATAAATCCCCACACCCACTTTCAAACAGAGGAGTTTTAAAAGCAAAACACCAGGCTTGCTGGCAAAGACAATGCTCTGAATGTGCACAGAGTAGCTTGCTAGTTTTCAGTCATTGGGACTTTAAAAAAAAAAAAAAAATTCTTCAGAAATCATAGCTTTGCTTTGTCAGTCCCACAGAAAAATGGCGTATTAAGATTAATTTTGAAAATACCTCAAAAAGAGCAGGAGATTCCTTAACAATTTAGGGGCATAAAAATTAACGCTGCAGTGTTTTTGTAATTACTGAAGCACACATCTTCCAGAATAGCAAGAACTCCACATAATTAAAGGATGAGACTTTAAAAATACCAACCATTTCATATACTATGCCTAATATATTACTTTCTATTTGAAGTTACAAAAAGAAAAAGTAAATAAAAACATTAGGGGTATGTATGCATTCCAGTGCTATGACCAATAAAGAGAAATATTCTAAGAACAAGTTTATACAAGTAATAATGAGTGCATTAAAGCAAGGTGAGTTCCTTCCCAGCAAAATTATTATTACAGTGGCAGGGCTATAACAGGTTTGTAGCTGTTTGAGTTAGCAGTAAGGATTTTTTTTTTCTTCTTACTAGATGTTCACTTTGCTGAACTAATCCAAATATAACAACTGCAGAAAGAGTAAAAATAAGAAGCCACACAATATGACAGGAATCAGGATTTGCAAGTCTATCTTTTAAGCCTCAAATCTTACAACTGTCAGTGGCTCTAAACCGCAAGAGCATAACAGGTGTCTGGCAATTTAAGACTCTTTGGAAGACACTTCAGGACAGTCATCAACACTGCTAAAGTTTTAAGCTACCTTGAGCCTCCAGTTCTTTCTCGCTTTACTCCTGTAGCCCCTGACTCTCCAGTGTTTTAGGTCTTTTCTGACCTAACGCAACTACACACTTTTTTTCTAGTTTGCTCTTCCTAAACTGTCAATGGAGAGTGAAAAGCACTCGTTGCTTAACGGTGCACCCAGTGCCTGGCTTTCACAGAAGCTCCAACCCCTAAGTATTTCCTAGCTTCCCTCTCTACAACTAAATATTAGGCCATACATGAGGAAATACAGGATGCTTGCAGGGAAGTTTAAAACCCAGCACAGCATGTCTCAAAAGAGGATCTTTCAAACACTGCCAGAATTGTGCTGTTGCATTTAGACCAGAAAGCTAAATGAAATAAAGAAGCAACTGCTCTCATTTTTGTTCTTTTTTGAATCTTCTAGACAATAAATAAATAAATAATCTATTCCTGCATTATACTTAGTTACTTAGTCAAGTGCTAAACACTGTCCTTAAAGCCCACTAAACACAGAGCCAAGTGTTTAAGAATAAATGTGCTAAAAAGTTTAAGGAAAAAAAAAAGTATTAAAAAAGCAACGACTAAGATACAAATAATCATTTCTTTCCTTAGGAGTCAGCTGACCTGATGTGTGCAGACTGCGAGCCTGGGATTCTCACCTGAGCACTTACATACATTTGCACACCCTGGCATTAAAGGAGGTGCTTCCATCATCACCCTGAGTGAGGGCCAGGTGGCTTGGTCAAATCTAAACCCAGCTGCAGCCACACATGAAAACACCCCTTAACTCTCAAACCACCTTACCCCGAGATGTAAAATCGAAAAATTCAACTGAGGGTTATTAAAGCCAAAATACAAAGGCTTGTTCTGCATGGAACAAAAACAAATTAATGGTGCGTGCTCACATTATATTATATGTGTGTGTAGATATGTATACATGTATATGAGAAGCTGCTGGGCAGCAGCCCTTGGGGCGAGCCCGCACCTCGCGCGGTCCCCGAGCCAGGCGGGAGGCAGCGGCGTCGGTGAATAAGCAAACGACAGGCAGAACCCCCCGCGCCGGCGCCTACCCCGCTCGTCCTCGTCGATGCGCAGCGCCATGGAGATGCACTCGAAGGCGCGCTTGTGGCAGGCCCGCACCGCCTCGGC